ATCCACTCACCTCAGCCTCCCAAAGGCGCGGGATTACAGGCTGAGCCACCGAGCCTGATTGCCTGGCTGATTTTTAAATTTTTTTGTAGAGATGAAGTCATGCTATGTTTGTTGCCCAGGCTGATCTTGAACTCCTAGCCTCAAGCCATCCTCTTCCTTCAATCTCCCAAAGGTCTGGCCTGATTTTTAATGGGATCATTTGTCTTTCATTACTGGGTTGTGAGAATCAGTGAATGTATTCTAGGTGTAAGTCCCCTATCAGATAGATGTTGCAAATATTGTCCCCTCTTCTGTGAGTTGTGTTTTTACTTTTTTTGATGGTGTTCTTTGAGGCACATAAGTTTTCAACTTTGAAGTCCAGTTTGTTTTTTCCCTTGTTGCTTGTGCTTTTGTGTCATATCTTAGAATCTGTTGCCATCCAAGGTCTTAAAGATTTACCCTTATGTTTTCTTCCAAGAATTTTATAGTTTCCATTCTTACATCTAGGTCTTTGATACATTTTGAGTGAATCTCTGTGGTATGAGATGAGTTAGCTTGATCCTTTTGCAAGTGGTTGTTCAGCTGTGTGAGCACCATTTTTCTTTTTTTTTTTTGAGTTGGAGTCTCACTCTGTCGCCCAGTCTGGAGGGCAGTGGCCGCTCCCAGCCACCGCAGCCTCGACCCGCTGGGCTCCGGCGATCCTTCCCGCCTCGGCCTTCCAAGTAGCCAGAACTACAGGCGCGCGCTACCATGCCCGGTTCATTTTTGATTTATTGTAGAGATGAGGTCTCGCTGCCCCGGCGGGTCTCGAACCCGCGGGCTCAGGCCATCCACTCACCTCAGCCTCCCAAGGCATGGGATGACAGGCTGAGCCACCCAAGCCCGGCTGTGAGCACCATTTTTAAAAAAACTGTTCTTGGCTCCCTTGATGCTTCTGCATCCTCTGACCTTGGGTGTGTTTCTGCGTCTCATTTCTGTTCCATGAGTCTGTGTTGGTCTTGATTCTGTTGCTTTGTAATAAGTTTTGAGGTTGAGAAGTGTGAGTCCTGTTTTCTTGTTCAGGATTGTTTTGGCTATTCTGGGTCCCTTTTAATTTCGTATGAATTTTAGAATCAACTTGTCAGAACAAAGAAGTCAGCTGGAATTCTCCTAGGGATTGTGTTGAGTGTGTGCATGGTTTGGAGAGTATTGTCCTCTTTATGTAATTAGTAAGACTTAGATTTTCCCATCCTTGAGCCCTGGTGGTTTTTCATGAGACCTTCTTTGTTTTCTTTGAGCAGTGTTTTACAGTTTCCAAAGTATAAGTGTTACATTTCTTTTGTTAAATGTACTCCTATGTTAATCTTTTTGGTGCTCTTATGAATGGAATTGTTTTTCATTTCATTTTTCGATAAACCTGTTCTTTTAAAAACTACTCCGAGCCCCTTCCTCAAACACAGGAATCTCTGGCCTTGGACAGATGTGGCTGGCAGCCCCTCTGTATGTTAGCAATGTGACAGTTATCATTATTTCTTCTTTTTTTTTAAGTTCTTCCCATGAGAAGGTGGTTAATGAACTTACTGATATGCTCATCTGGCCTTGAATTTCTGCTTAATATGTTTTTTTAAAAATTTATGTTATGAAGAGGTAATAGGAGTTACATACTCAGGAATTCGGTTATGAGGACATTCCTTAAGATATATTTCTCCAACCTGCCTGAAGTGTATTTTCAACATTTTTAGAGAAAACATGCCATTAGAGCAGGTGCCATTGACCTGATGCTGGAAAGTGCAGGGTCATCTGTGCTCCTCTGTGGCCTCTCCTGGCCACAGCCTGATCTGCCTGCTCCTTTCTCCACATCCAAGTATTTGTTTTTGGCGGTACCAAAGCTTGTTTACCGTCAGAAGTGGTGCTGGTACCCTGCTCTGATGAGGTCTGACGTGGTCCTGTCACCTTGATTGTGACCCTGCTCTGTGGCTGACGTGGGCCTCAGGACCCTTGGTTCCCTCAGGAGTGCTGTGAAATTTGTGTACCCTCATGTGTTCGGAATTCCTTTGTAAACACCAAGACATCACAGAAGGATGGCAGTGTCATGATGCTGCTTGAGGGAAGCTAATTCTGATGTTTTATCGTTCTGTCCATCTGTTCCACTCTGGTGCCCCGGCTCGAGTACAGTGCCATGATCATGGCTCACGGTAGCTTTGACTTCCGAGTTCAGGCAATCCTTCTGTCTCAGCCTCCTGAGTAGCTGAGAATACAGGTGTATGCCGCTGCATGTGGCTAATATTTATTTATTTAAATAGAGATGGAGTCTTGCTCTGTTGCCCAGACTGGTCTTGAACTCCAGTCTCTAGCGATCCTCTCATCTCGGTCCCCCAGAACGCTAGATTATAGGCATGAAATACTACACCTGGCGCTTTTTTTCTTTATTTTGAGGCAGAGTCTTTCTATCTTACCTAGTCTGGTCTTAAGCTCCTGGGTTCAAGCAGTCCTCCCTCCTTGTCCATTGTGCCCAGCCAGAGGAGAATTTTTTTTTTTTTGAGTTGGAGTCTCACTCTGTCGCCCAGACTGGAGTGCAGTGGCTGCTCCCAGTCACTGCAGCCTCCACCTGCTGGGCTCCGGCAATCCTTCCGCCTCAGCCTTCCAAGTATCTGGAACTACAGGTGCGCGCTACCACGCCTGGCTAATTTTTTTTTTCCTTTTTGATTTATTGTAGAGATGAGGTCTCGCCTGCCCAGGCGGGTCTCGAACCCACAGGCTCAGGCAATCCACTCACCTCAGGCTCCCAAAGGCGCTGGATTACAGGCTGAGCCACCGAGCCCGATTTGGAGGAGAATTTTTAAAGAAAAGAATTGAGTTTATGTTTCTTGTTAACTTTTTTTTTTTTTGAGTTGGAGTCTCACTCGGTCGCCCAGACTGGAGTGCAGTGGCCGCTCCCGGCCACCGCAGCCTCGCCTGCTGGGCTCCGGCGATCCTTCCGCCTCAGCCTTCCAAGTAGCCGGAATTACAGGCATGCGCTAACACACCTGGCTGATTTTTTTGATTTATTGTAGAGATGAGGTCTCGCCAAGTTGCCCAGGCGGGTCTCAAACCCGTGGGCTCATGCAATCCACTCACCTCAGCCTCCCAAAGTGCTGGGATTACAGGCTGAGCCACCGAGCCCGGCTTCTTGTTTACTTTTAAGAGAGCTGGTTATGCGTTGTTTGTGTCGCTCGTGAGCATTAACACCAAAGATCCCATGAGCAGTCCTCTGCCGGTCATTCAGTAACATAATTCATTGTCGTCAAAGAAGCAGATGACTGGACATTTGCACAGTATGTAGTCTGCACCAGGACCCTTGTGAGAGGAAAGGGGCACATCACTTCCAGTTGTGCCAGGGTAAATAGCATGGGCTGCCTTACGCAGCTGGGGCATCTGGTCGCTCCTCTGAAGGCCACCTGCTACTCCAGGGAAAAGAGCTTTGAGTTACTCACAGTCCATGAGAAGTGGTTTTTTGGTTTTTTTGAGTCAGGGTCTCACTTTGTCGCCCAGGCTGGAGTGCAGTGGCATGACCACAACTTGCTGCGGCCTTGACCTCCTGGGCTCAGGTGATCCTTTCACCTTAGTCTCCCAAGTGGCCGGGACTACAGGCCTGCGTCACCATGCTCAGCTAATCTTCTGGTTTTTTTCCCTAGAGACGAGGCCTCGCCATGTTGCCCAGGCTGGCCTCAAATTTCTGGGCTCAAGCCATCCTCCCTCCTTGACCTCCCAAAGTGTTGCAGGCATGAGCCACCACCCCAGCTAAGAGTTTCTGAAAACAGAGTTATAACTGCCTTGCTTTGCCTCCCTCTCCCTTTTACTTTGCTTTCTGGTTGTTGGTGGTGATGGCTTGCTGTCATTCTGTGTGTTTTCTTAGTGATTGTAGGTCAGTGCATTTGTCTGGAGACCTTCTACGCAGTAGAGACAGCTGGGCCATCCTCCAAGATTCCCTCTGAGAGTCCCTTCAGCCTGGGGTTGGAGTCCATGTAGCACTTTTTTCTTCTTTTTTTTTCTTGAGTCCCTCTTTTTTTCTGAGTTGGAATCTCACTGTGTCGTCTAGGCTGGAGGGCAGGGGCACACTCGCGACCACTGCAGCCTCGACCTGCTGGGCTCAGGTGAACCTTCTGCCTCGGCCTTCTAAGGAGCTGGAACTACAGACTTTTTCTTGTTTTTGAGAGACAGAGTCTCACTCTGTTGCTCAGGCTGGTCTGTAACTTCTGGCCTTAAGTGATCCTCCTGCCTCTGCCTCCCAAGTACTGGGATGACAGTCCTGAGCCACCACACCTAATTGGCACCTGTTTTAATGCATGGGAATTTCTTTTAGTTTGAAACAGGTCATGAAGATGATGTGGAGTGCAATGAGGATGAGGGCCGAGAAACTTTATTCTCCGAATAAAATTAATGATAGTTAGGCTGTTAAATGTGTGTTCCGTGTTCTCACTAATTCCTGTAGAGGTTATCTGCTTTGAGATTCTGTTCCAAAGTCACTCAGACCTACTTTTAGCTAGCTACGGCTACAAATTAAGCCTGAGTCCAAGGCATTTTGGTTGTGATCTTCAGAACTGTTTGTGCATCCAGATTGGGGTTGGCAAACTATTTTGTAAATGAAATTGTATTAGAACACAGCCACACCTGTCGTTTGCACTGTCATCTATAGCTGCTTTGAGCTGCAGTGGGACAGGGTACAGTCGTTGGGGCAGAGTCTGTGTGTGTGACCCTCAGACCTGAAGCAATTGCTGCCTGGCCCTTTAAGGAAGTTTGCTGACCCCGAGTCTAGATGATGAGTTCAGGGCATTAACATTTTTTTAATTGCTAAGATTAATGTGAGTTGATGTGTACCTAAGAATTGACTTTGCATTTGTTTCTTGTCCCTTCCATCCCGCTCCCCCTTGCAGATGACTCGCCTCCAGCGGAAAGGGAGCCAGGAGAGGTTGTGGACAGCCTAGTCGGCAAACAGGTGGAATACGCCAAAGAAGATGGCTCGAAAAGGACTGGCATGGTCATCCATCAGGTGGAGGCCAAGCCCTCTGTCTACTTCATCAAGTTTGATGACGATTTCCATATTTACGTCTACGACTTGGTGAAAACATCCTAGGTGTCATCACGGACTCTGCCAAATTTGTGGAACTATTAAATGTATAATTTGTAGACATGAAGACTTGATTGCTTTCCAGTTTAATGAAAGCTTGATTGTCCCTGCGAACCCACAATCTCTGCCAGCAGAACTGGTTTTGTTCTGGATAGTACACATTAACATGAACACGAAGCATTTTGTGTGAGGAGAATTCCTTCCTCAAAAGAAGCCTGTCTGTCTGGAGGGAGTTCCAGGCAAGTTGGTCAAAGTTATGCTAGCATCATGGTCCTTGAAAACTGTCACAGATCTTAACCGTTTCCCCTTCACCCCGACACTCTCTTATTCTGCTGCCGCAATGCAAGCATAGTTTGGTATTTTGGTTGCTGCCTTTTTTGAGATGTACGTATCTGTACCTACCTGTGTGTGTGTGTGTTTGTGCGCGTGCGTGTGTTCGCGCATATGTAATATATATATACGTGCGGAGAGACATGTATGTACACACACACACACACACACACACACACACACAAACACACACACACACACCCGCACCCACACACCACTGGCAGTCCTTTCTTTGTGGCTGGGGGGTGTGACATAGTTTTCTCCAGTTTAACAGGAGTGCTTGACCCAAGTGAATCCTATTTATGACATGACTGCTCTTCATTTGAAAGGAACATCATGTGGGCGTGGGGATGACAGAGGCCCTTTCAGCTTGTTTTGGAAGTGAGAAGTTCAGCACGCCTTTTCAGTCTGGAGGTTCTAAACCAGGAGTCACTTGTGAACGGTGAAAGACCCACTTTACACTTTTACAGTCTGGAGAGAAATCTGGGTAAAAGACTGCCTTTAGTTCGAAGCTTTGTAAGTTTTTGGGTTTACATTGTAATCATACATACTTTTTAGCCACACCCAGGGCCCTGGTCCACAGTGTAATGTAGGTGTGTTTTGGATAGCAGATTTGGGCCACATTTGTACAATCAGTAATTTGGATTGTAGAACATGGATTTCACAGGCCACAGGACATCAGTGGTTTGTGTTTGTGGTAAGTTCCTGGAAGAACACAGTGCTTTTATATTGGAAATGTAAGTTGTAAAAGTGGCATTGTTGCCTTCTGACCAGTCCTCTGGGGCCTTTTTTGTTTTTATTACTGTTATTGCTAATAGATTATGGCCAGGACTCCCCACCCCCATCCCCAGCTTTTCTCCACAAAGAATGTCAAGGTGCACAGCGACTCACCCTGGCTCCTGCAAGGCTGTATGTGTGCTCAGGTGTGTGGTTGATGTGGGCTCTTCCACTCGGTGGCCCCTTGGGGTTTTGTGGTTGTGATGTCACCACGGAAGGTCTGGCCGCTGTGTGAGTGACAGTGGCCCTTGGAGTCCCTTCCTGGCATGTTCTCGCAGGGCTGTTCTAAACTGAAATCAAGTGCAGGATGTTGGTGGGCGTGAGCTGAGCAGCTGCTCTCACTATGCTCTGGAGGAGCCCTGGTGGTCGGGCAGCCGGGAGAAGGGCCCTGGGTGGCCTCTGTCTTCTTGGAGACTGGGAGTCCTGCTGCAATGGGGGAAGGGCCGCGGTGGGTACTCTCGGTCGGACCCCCGGGGCTCGAGTCCAAGCCCCACACGGCCTCCGTGCTGCTCCAGGTGGTTGTGGGCCCGACACAGGGCATGCCTGGTGCCCGCTCAGCCCATACGTGGCTGGTGCCTGTGCCACTGGAGGGTGCCGGCTGTCACGGGGCCGTGGTCCTCAGTGTTCCGTCCAGACCTCAGTCGCCCTGCCCTGGTACTTACCATGGGTGGCTGGACAAGCTTTGGGAAGCAGCACAGCGCCGAGGCTGGGGGCATGGCAGGCGAGGCCTGCAGGCCTGCCGCGTGCTCTGTGGAGTTCCTGCATGCAAACCTCAGGGCCCAGGCTGCCTGCGGCGGCACGGTTGCGGGTCGTGTGTCAGCATACACAAGCTGGGCAGAGCTTGGTGCCCCGATGGCAGGCCGAAGGAGAAAGTTCTCTTCAAGTGTCCTGAGGGTGGGTCCATTGAGGTTTTTCTAGCATCACCTGATTACTTGCATTGTGATTTTTCTGCAAGCAGCTTCAGTGACTTTGCTATGCCACGTGACCGCCCAGTCTCCAGGTGAACACGCTTGATGACGGCGATGGCGGCTTTCATCCTCGTTCTTGTTCTGCCTTGAGGGCTGAGGGAAGGGAAAGGGCTTGCCGTTCTTGTTTTCCATGTCTCCCCGTCCTGTCTTTCTTTGGGCGGCGTACACCACACCTGGTGCCGCCGTGGCGGGTCCACCCTGAGCCCTTGCACCCTGGGCTTTGTCTGAGGCTCGTGTCACCTCTGCATGCACTGCTTGCATCTTCCTGGTATCTGCGTGTTGCCTCCTTGCTCCGGGAACTCAGCATTAATTTCCAAAATTGTTGTGGGACTTGTGGCAACACAAGCCCCGAATCTGTGTATAAAACGTACTGGCCTCTCTCACTTACCTGCTCTAGTATTATTGTATTGTGTGTGCGTGCGTGTGTGTGATGTCAGGCTGCCACGTAAAACTTCAGAGAAAAACCTTAAAAGCAGACCATCCTTTTTTGCATGCTCTATTCTAAGTAGAATGTTCAATGTAACTGACTAAAACTGCATGTGAAAGATACTTAGGTTTTTTGTTTTCTCTCTCTCTTTGCTTTCGGTTTCCTGTATATTTGCTTACTGTGCCGTTTTAGTGGTTGTAGGGTAAAATGCACTGGTGAAGCAAATGTCGTGCCAACACGAGGTGGCTTTCCCGTTGTAAACGTCACGCAGCATCTGAAGGGACTGTGCTTTCTCACACAATCACAGTGACTTCCGCGCCAGGTTTCCTTTCTGTTACTGTTTTATGTGCCAAACCGCGAAGTGCATTGGGCGTGAATCTCTGAACACGGTAGACCCATTAGAAGACTGCTCCGATTGTCACAAAGTGTAGTGCCTGAAAACACTCTCAAGCTGATTGTCTTAAAAAATGAACGTTCTCCAAAGACAAAACAGGAACGATTACTCTAACCGAGTAGACACGGTCGAAGCGCCCAGGGCTCCTTGGAAATGCCGCTCTTGTGTTCCCACCGCAGAGCAGCGCGGAAGGACGTGTGTGGTTCAGAGGTCTTCGTGTCCACATTTAAAACTAGGCAAACGACCTCATCTTTTGAGCTTGAATTCATTTTTAATTTTAAGTTTATTTTATACAATGTGTAGACAGTTCCCTGTTCTCTGCATTTAGAAGTATACACAATATAAATCTGTTAATTCTGTAAGTAATTTTTATAATTATGATGTAACTCTATCCTATCCTTGAACATTTAAAATAAACCCTTTATGTGCAACTCCAGACTGTACATTTTGTGCTCATGAGCAAAATATGATGTGAAAAATTTTCTGAAAAGTTTTCGTTTCTGAAAAGGTTTTGAGCCAAGGAACCGTTCTCGCCACATGTGTCAGATGTACATAGAAACAGAAAGGTGTAGCATTCTTACCTGAGTGATGACATTTAGTGGTCCCTGCAAGGAGAGGGGTAGTGATCAATATCCCACATGTATTAAGTATTAAAGTAGGTGATTAATGAGAAACTTTAACTTATAAGATTCTAAACGTAAAAAATTGCTTTAAAAACGATTAAATAATGTGTATTTTTTGCTTCGACATCTATTCTTGCTTTGAATATTTCTTACGGTGCGCTTATTCATCCTGAAACACCAATCAGTGAGGTTCTGTGGTGAAATCCCCCTGTTTCTCAGTGCTGTGGATAAAGAAATGAAGGTGCTCTTACGAACTCCTGTGTGTGCTCGGGTTGACCACGGAGGTGACGAGGTGGACGGAAGGTCAGGGTCGGCCCTGGTGCATCCTGGGAGGAAGCAGCCCGTGGGAGGCACGGTGCTGGCCTGGGGCTAGATCACCTGCCCCCCCTCGCTGAGGGCAGAATCTGCCGTTGTGGCTGTGGGACCTGTCCGAGGCGCAGCTCGTAAAGCTCTGCAGGTTGAGTGTGCTGGCTGCCCGTGGTGCCTGGCGAGGTGGCCTCGTGAGCTGGCGCCCCTGCTGGGAGCAGCGTTGCTGTGGGGACCAGAGGCGGCCCGCCTTGTCAGCGGCTCTCTTGGTGCTGCCCACCCTGCGCATGGCCACTGCCACAGCACTCTCAGAAGCGGAGCTTGGTGCCCACGGTCTTCCCGCTTTTCTCAAGCTGAGGAAGGGCAGGGGCCTTCCGTGTTGCGTCTGGGATTGCAGAGGCAGTGACTCAGACCCTCCGTTTTGTGCCCAGGCTCCAAGCTGCTTTTGTTGATGTCTTTGAAGCAGATGACTTCAGCGGGATGGTTGGCGTCATTAACAGTGTATTATTTTCTGTGTATACTTTTTGCCGCCGCCGCCTCCTCCTCATTTTCTGTTTTGTTTTTGAGTCTGGACTCTCACTCTGTACCCCAGACTGGAGTGCAGTGGCTCACCACAGCCTTGATCTCCAGGGCCCGGGCGATCCTTCTGTTTCAGCCTCCTGAGCAGCTGGGACTGCAGGCATGCGTCATCATGCCCAGCTAATCACAAATTAACCCGGCATGGTGTCGTGTGCTTTTAGTCCCAGCTACTTGGGAGGCTGAGGTGGAAGGACCGCTTGAACCCAGGAGGTCCAGGCTGCAGTGGGCTGTGACCGTGCTGCTGCATTCCAGCCTGCACGGCAGAGTGAGACCTTGATTCCAAAGAAAAGAAAGTATCTATATTCTTGTTACCTAGGCTGATCTAGAACTCCTGGGCACAAGCGATCCTCCTGCCTTAGCCTTCCAAAGTGCTGGATTACAGGAGTGAGCATTGCAGCTAGCAAGTTGCTTTCTATTTTAAAGACACCTTAAATATGTCGTGAAGTTAACGCATTTGTAAAACCTGAATTTCTTTTGTTCTTAGTCCATAATCTCCTACCTAATTTTTAAAGCAATTTTTTGGTCATGTAATTAGTTGTAAGTTTTTAGGCTGCAGAGTTTTCAGAGAATTAGGTGACTTTTTCAGTTACTTCTCCAGCTGTTCTAGACAGTCTCTGCCTGCCCATATCGTCTGAGTGATTTCGGTAAGCCTAGTAGCAGGTGACTTTTGGTTATCATTACACGTA